GAAGAAGAAGAAGAAGAAGAAGAAGAAGAAGAAGAAGAAGAAGAAGAAGAAGAAGAAGAAGAAGAAGAACAAGCCCAACTTGTCTTTACTGACTTGATATACTACCTATCGTAATGCCATTGTCATTCATACAAACGAAAGAGATCTGGTCCAGAGGTTGATTATCACTGCTATGTTACAGCGGTTTAGTATGCAGTAGCAATAATTGCAATAAATATTCCTACCGCTTGAGCCAAAACTTGTTTTCTCTTCAGAGATCGCTCCTTCAACTGTTTCAACCGGTCCCCCATGTTGAGATTTCTTGTAACGGCAAAGATGCTACACTTTTCGCTCAAACGATTAGTGAAGAATTAGGCTATTCAGGTTATGATCATATAACGTTATGCAGATTTTGCAAATAACGGTCCCAAATAACAGAATAAGCGTTTCACGAATTGTTGATTAATAATCAATTTATGACACATTATTTGCGTACTTGTGTCTTTTCACACCGGTCTCCAGTCAAGCATATCGGTCCTAATGATTAAATCATTTACATGAGTCGCCTGTTCAACAGAAGGGAGACAACTCTAACTTGAGGTCAACATCGAACCATGGCGTTAAAAAGGTCAGGTGATATAGATGTATCGGGAGACATGGCTTCAGACAAGAAGAAAAAGCAGGTGCGAGTGTGGGTAGATGGCTGGTAAGTGTAATTTGACACATTAATAATAACACTTTCAAACAGATTGTGAGCGCACCTTGTATTTGGGTAATTTGAAATCATCACCGTGACAACATACCATGATAACTTGACAGTTCAATACACAACTGATGTTGACTGCTGCCAATATGACACGCCGACATGTTTGTTTATAAATGAAATTGAATGAGACTTTTTCGAACACAATGTTGCAATGATTTTACTTTCTCAATTGTTTGCCAGATTAGCCTTGTTGCTATTTTGCTGTCTCTATCAGCCGATCATGACATTATTCGTTTTTATGAAATTTGTATAGGGAACTCTTGCATATCATTGGTTTTTTCCTGAACCAACAATAATTTTGGTTATCACCCGTACACATTTATTCAGTTTGTGCATATTACATTTTTATAAACGTAGAACAAATTAAGAGTGCTTTATAAATTGCGAATACCTAAATTGCACTGTAGGCCTGGCCAGGGGCATGCTTTTTATGAGTTAGAACATGCCCCGAGAGTGGGCGTGGCCACAGATGACACGATTCTAAAACAATCATTCTTTTACATGTATTTCACACATTTTTCTTCTATTTATCTAGCAAAAAATACTTATGCATATGTAACCAGGAATGTGTTTTCTTCATTAGTTAATCAAATATATATACTGAAAGGAAAAGGAAATGCAATCAGAAATTTTCCGGTTAATTACATGAAAAAGAAAAATGATGTAACAAATAGAAAGTTAGTTTAGTTTAAACATATTTTATTGTACAAATATTGGAAAAATATGGATTGGACAACAAGTTAATAACAGTCCTCTCCTAAATACATATGGTAAATACAATGTATATGTTTTTTGGGAACAGGAGGATAGGGTGGAGATGAAGGGTATGGAGGTGGATGGGGGGATAGGGAATGGGGGGTTACCTAGAAAATAATCGTGTAAACTGTGAAAAGGATTCGCATTTGAATAAATTATAAATTATACAAAATTTCATGACATGCAGCCCGGTATAGTAATTTTATAATGAACAAGATCAATGTAACAAAGTAATCAGGCAAAATAATGAAATGCAATTTCATAAACATATATAACAATGTACACATATAAGTAAAAATAAGGAATGATAATTATAATTATCAAAACCTATTGCTGGATTTGATGTAATGATGCACTTGTCTAAAAACTTTTGTATTGGTTTCTACCGAAAGTTGGGTATTACCAAACAAAAGTATTTCTAAATCAAAATCAACATACAACGTATTTAAATTTTGGAACAGGATGCGTCGTTAAAAAGTAAGCACTCATAAAAAAGTGAAAGGCATTTTCACACGGATGGCCACAATTACAAACTGGACTATCAACAAGATTTACCCTATAAAGATCATATTTAAGTGGACTAGGCCGGTACACTGATATCTAAGTGTTGTATGCAAAATGTTTAATTTACGTTCACCGAAACCTTAGAAGTAGATTGGCTGAGGAGATTGTACGTTTGAAGTTTGATTGTACTGAAAGGTCCAATGAATTCCAACTGCGAAGAGTTGAAGGTATAAAAGATGAAGTTGTTAGAGAAAGCCTGAAAGGAAGAACTCTATAATCATTATTGTTTCTAAGGGTGTAACTGTTATTTTCTGCAACAGTAGACGGCAATAGATCATTTAAATAGTCTGGAGTTCATTTATTGTGCATCTTAAACAAAAGTTGAAGTTTTCTGCATTTTCTTCGATTCGAAAGAGTTTCTAGACCAGATTCAAAAAGTAAATCTTCGATTTTGGCATAGATGGGAAGTCCAGTAATTATACAAAGAACTTCTCTTTGGGCTTTCTCTAACATTAGAATGTTATCAGGGGCGTATCAACGATATCAATTTTTATAATGGCCTTTGTATCGCGACATGTATCGTATCGTAAGCTAGCTGGCAAAAAATTGGTCAATTCACCTGCATGCCAACAGATATATAGTAATGAGTAACAGCCTCAGGTAATGATGGTGTAATTGGAAGATAAAGGATCACTCTGTCGTCTATGAAAATTTCATTCACGTTCGTTAAGTAACCTCATCATATTTGATGTTGATTCAAGAGGAATATCCCTCTCAAAATGAAGTGTGTTATGGGCCCATCAATATTGTGTACCAATATCATGCATGACTGATCCTCCACAACAAAATGATCCTGTTCAATCACACAAGCAATGCTTAGTGCCTGTGGATGCGTCTATAATAAAGACGTGATGTTGGCCATCTGCTTGGTAAAGCAAAAACCTAGACCATCCTTATGAAGCTTTGGGTCAATGTATGTCTGTCACTGCCTAAGACCAAACCGAGTTCACAAGCCAGTGAGAATCAGAGATGTGAGAGACCATAACCATATAAATATATATAATCAGACATCACCATGCGATATTATGTCATTAACTGTAATGGAGTGCTATAAAGATTCCTCATTAAAATGATCTTGACCTACTTTCAAGGTCACAGGAGTCAAATATATGTTAAAAATTCCAAAAAACAATATCCTAAGAACCATTTGGACTTAAGTCATGATACTTGGGTATGTTGTGTAGACCAGCAGTGCAATTTTTTTTATCGTTAACAGTAATGAGGTCAAAGGTCAACTTTAAGTGCTAGTTGGGGGTCAAATGTCAATTTTGGTTCAAGTGCAAGTTGGGAGTCAAAGGTCAATGTGTTTTAAAAGCTCCGTTTAAGAGATGTTAACATGTCTTTTGTTCTAGTTACCAAATTTGGTCTTAAGTTACCTATATGTCAGTTTCATGTAACAAAAGAAACAGGTGAGAAACACAGGCCCTCTGGGCCTATTGTTGATATAAATATTTTGTTTGTTTCCCTTTTTTCAGTTTTTGACATTGTACGTTTTTGCCAAATACTATATATTATATGAACTGAATATTTTTAGCTTGATTGATAAATTTGCTGGTTTTTAATAATACATATTTTTTCTTTTTTTTTCAGTTTTGACATGGTACATTTTGGCCATGCCAACGCCATCAGACAGGTAAGTACAGTGACATTGCTTTTCTCTGTGTTTGTTCACTTTGACCACAACACTTAACTCCAGAGTAGTTAATGTAATCCGTCTATAAGAAAAGACTCGGTGACTGAGAAAATAAACACATGTAACATTGACCAAACTAAGTCTTGTAGTCATGGCATATGCATATAATAATGTAATCAGTGTTTTCTGTGATATAATGCTTTGATTTGTGTAAGTAAAATTAGGTGTAGCCTAGAGAAATGCAGAAATAAGGTAATCATATCAAATACAGTATACTAATTTGTAAATTACCGGTATGTAGTAATCTTAATTCTAAATGTTTGCAGGCCAAGAAGATGGGTGACTACCTGGTTGTGGGAGTACACTCAGATGGTATGTAGTTGTTCTGTTTGTTAATATTCTGTCCCATCTAGTACATGTACAGCCATAAGTAAACAAGTGTTTCCCCCATACACATGTACTTGTACCAGGGTATATAAGATCCTGAGATGTACAATAGTCAATGACTGATAAAATTAAAGGTACATGTGCCTTGTATGATAAACTACATATGTTGAACTTTGGACCATGAGCCATGTGTACTTCAGTATATATCATTTAATGAGATTAAAACGTTCTGTCACAGAGGAGATAGTTATAGCAGGAAATGTAGGTCACAGTTATTACGCCTTTTTTAACCTCTGTTATGAGGACAAAACTATCACGACAGCAAATATCATTACACAGTATACCATATCATATATAGCAAATATGATTTTTTCAGTTAAAGGGCAAAAGTTCAACTGAACAAAATTTCCCAGTATAAGTATAAAAAGAAGAAAAGTGCATGGTTGTATGTACGTTATAAAATAAACATCTGTTAACAATGTTATATTTTTTGTTTTAACAGAGGAAATAGCCAAGCACAAAGGCCCACCAGTATTTAAACAAGAGGAGCGATACAAGATGGTCAGGGCTATCAAATGGGTTGATGAGGTAACTAAACGACAACAAATTGCTCCTTGTGCAGATCTCTTGATCAAATACATTACAGAAAAAAACTGATCTTGAAAGTCCATGCAGGCCCTAGTTGAACCAACATTTTTAGCTTCAGTTAATATTTTCTTTTAGCTAAGGCAATGCTTTCCCAGTGCAAAACAATAGGGAAATCTAAGTTAACCCATTCACCCCTAATGTCACATTGGAATCTTACCAAATCAAAGACTGGGCAAGTCCAGTTTAAGTGTGTAGGGTTAAATTCATCTTAAGCAATATGCTTTCCCAGTGGGAGAATCTAAGTTAACCCATTCACCCCTTAAGTCACATTGAAACCTTTACAAATCAAAGACTGGGTAAGTCCAGTTTAAATATGAAGGGGTGAATATTTTAACTAAGGGCAAAAAGTGAAAACAATCTTAGTTGACATGTTTCATGAAACCGAAGATAGTACCTCCTGATTGTTTTGCACTATAATATTCAATTACCAGTACAATGAAGATTTTAAGGAGCAGACAAATCCTATAAAATAATACCAACTACACTAAACTTTCAACTTATATGTAGTTCTGTTTTTATTATCCTTGAGCTGTGATAATTGTTACTTTGAACATATGATGAAAGTGTTGTTTTTTCCGTCATATCAGTATCCGGGTTGATAAACAATTTTCCTATCCAAACTCAGCTGATAACTATCAGAATTTATTGATCTGTCCAGGCCGATATAGTCTATTCTGGGATGTTTGATCATCCTTGGCTTGATATCAGGTTATTGAAATGATGAAATGTACAATATCTGTATATATTATCAAATTAGCCATAATATGAACTTTAAACACAATTAAAATAAAAATACATGATTTGACTTTTTCAGAAAAGGGAGTTTTACTCCTGAAAGATTTTAATAAAATCCATTAACTACATGTACTAATTATTAGGGCTGTCACAGTGTATTGGAAAACCGGTTTATCGCAATACACAGGCATATCGTATTGTATCGCAATACAGAAATGACATATCAATGTATCACGATATTTTTTTTTAAAGTTTTTTTTATGTATTTGTTAAGTGTTTCAACTTTGCAAAATACTCACACATTCTATATGCTGATCGCCATAAAGAGGATTTGATAGTGGTGGAAATCAGTTGCAAGTTCATGATCAATGGTTGGCTTAACGAAAACCTTATATCTGTGTGATTCATAGGATTCAGTTTGATGACATTCTGATTACAATTTCTTTTTTTAATTGAGCACCCTTTTTTGAGGACAATTTATCGGGATATATATCGCAATGTATTCCTTCTGTATTACAATTTATTCTGATACACTCTAAGCATATTGTGAAGTCCCTGTTAATTATTTTACATATTTTATTTAATATGACGTTATAAATTACGAGAACTTTTCAGACATCATTTCTTTGAGATTAATCAGATAATGATGATATAGTCAGTGTAAAAGCAATTGTTCATATTTTCAATCTTTAATTTGGTCATCATCAATGGCTATTGTTTTTATGATCTAAGGGTATATATATAGCTTTTAAAGTCAAAATTATGTTGTTTAAAGTATGATATCCTGTGGAAATAAGATATAGAAAATAAACAAATGGCACTGTTTTTTCTATATCTGTGTGTGTTTACAGGTAGTGGAGGCAGCCCCCTATGTAACCAGCCTGGAGACTCTAGACGAATACAACTGTGATTTCTGTGTACATGGAGGTTTGTATATATATTACAAGGAGCATACCTCTATTATTTCTTCTTAAATCCAAATCTTCAATCTCAAATAAAAAAAAGTCATACATTTTAGAGTGTAACAAATGCGATCAGACATGAAAGTTAAAAATGAGTGATATTTGGAATTTTTTGTTTAGGTTGTAAAATGCCATCAGAAATGTACTGTGTAACGTAATAAAGTGATGAAAGGAATACTTTTTCAAACAAACTCTGTTTAACCCTTTCACCAGACCATAATGGTCTTTACCAGATCAATGTATAGTAGAGTCTACTAAAGTTACATAGGGATGAAAGAGTTAAAAAGACAAATTCACAACCCACAAATCTTTATACAACTGACGCTGGCTCCATCCCCTTTAAGTTTAATCAATGCTAATGTTACAAAATTTTAATTTCAATATATACATGTATTATATTTATATATGGGGCAAAGGAGTAATTCCAACAGTGTGGACAAGTTTAGGTTGTCAAATTTTCGGAGCGATCCGCTCCTTTTTCAAGACACAGTGAAACAGAACAGTTACATGTATATATACATCATATTACAAGAAGATAGAATTGATATACTGTAATTGAAAATATAGCTATTATATAAAACCAATAGTCCCCTCGGCTAAAGACAGCCGAAGGTAGCAATTAAGCTGAGAGCTTTTCTTATATAGATACATGACATCACGACCACCACTGATGGTATAAAGCTGGTTTTAATATATTTATATGTCTGTTTTAACAGATGACATCACAACCACTGCTGATGGTACTGACTCCTATCACATAGTGAAAGCAGCAAAGCGTTACAAGTAGGTTTTCCCTGTCCAGGTCAGGGGCATGTGTAGGTTTTCCCTGTCCAGGTCAGGGGCATGTGTAGATTTCCCTGTCCAGGTCAGGGACATGTGTAGGTTTTCCCTGTCCAGGTCAGGGGCATGTGTAGGTTTTCCCTGTCCAGGTCAGGGGCATGTGTCCTCCTCAATACATAAAATTTGTCATGTGCACATCAGAAAACCTATGTATCTCACGCTGATTATTGTCATACAATTGCAATTTATTCTAAAATTGCATAAATTTGTTATTTATTACCTTTATATGCTTATAATTTGCAATTAATCATTATTATTCTTGAGTGAGTTTCTTTAATGCGTATTTAATATGTTACAATGAACTTAGTAACTGTATTACCCTGTCTGCCGTGTATGTTGTTTTGACCTCTTGTTACACACACAAGTGTGTCAAGAGTGTAATAGAGAATCTGTGATTTTATAAATCTCTGACATTATGCTGGTGTCCTACTTTTTACTTTACCATTGCTTTATTTCCCATGTTGATTTTTATGTCTACATATTTAAACGATACACAAAGTCTACTTAAGATTGAACTGTGGGATTTTTCTACATTGCTGAATAATCACATACTCATAAGACATTAGACAGGACCCTCGCCCCTCCACCCAAGATTAATCCATAGCACATTACAATCTCATATATTCATGTTTCATTATGCTTGAGTAGACTCTAAAATGGTAGAAATTTGTTAAATTTTAATTATCTTCAGATTTGACCATCTTCTAGACGTTTTCGATTAAATTGCTGACTTTGGTTTCACAAAATATCAGAAAAAAAGATTTTTCCTTAACTTCAATATCCACACAGGGAAACCTCAAAACCAAAAAAAAAAAGATTACGTTAATGAAATTGTCTTATCGAAAGCTAAGAAGTGTGCATGAAAAAGAGGCTGATAATTTGTTATGGTAATTTTGTTTTGGTGATTTCAGGGAGTGTAAAAGAACTGCTGGTGTATCTACAACAGACCTGGTAGGGAGGTATGTATGTTGATAGCATTTTGTTGTAAACTAGTTTTCTACTTCTTATAAATAGGAAATATAACCAGCTATAGTTGTAAGAATGGTAATTGAAATTAATGTAAAGAAAACATCATGTCTTTGTTTTAACTCCGTACATGTACTGTACTTGTAATTTAATTTAAGAAAATCAGATTACCTGTTGTATTTTTAAGGAGCAAATAGAAATTGGAGAGTGGATTGTTTGTTATTCTCTCAGAGTCACTCCACCAAAATTATGTGGGTGGCACCTCTGTATATTTAAAGCATTAATAAATAAGGAGATCGTTTTTCTGCAAAGCAAATGTGAAGTCACAAATATCATACATATAAAAGAAATTTTCATGATAAAGAGAAAAAAGAAAAATAGTGTGGTGGTCAACATGTTTTTCAACTTATATGAATGTCTACAGGATGTTGCTGGTGACGAAGAACCACCACAAACCAGACGAGGAAAGTGTGGAAAAGGCCGATGTCTCTGATATAGGACAGGTAAGGTCACTGGAATGGGGTCAAAGGTTACTGCTCAGTACAGTCATTGTACGGGCAAGCTTTGTGGAGAGCAGCATCACTAAATTGGACCATATTCATTCTAACAGAAGGTCAATGTCATAGAATCGGAGATCACGATAGTCAATCAGTGATGCTGGTCTAATCTGTGATGTACCCGGTACACATTCTATTGTTTTGACCATTTCTGAAACAAGATTGATTTAATTTGTGCATGAGATTTTAGTACATGTATCAGCTTACTACACATCAAAGCTTAGAGCCAGCTGCTAGCCTACTTCATATAAAAACTTAGAGCCAGCTGCTACATGTCAAACTCTTACAGCCTAAATTTTGATCATTTAGGGGTGCTGCTTGTTTGGTTAGGAGGTTTTCATTTCGGTACCAGGGTTTCATTATAGTTTAGGTGTTGATCAATTTTATTTTCACATTTTTTAGTCGATAATAATATTCAAACTACATTTCAAACAGTATTTTGTTAGTCTTACGAGGATGACATCCTATTAATATTTGTCAAAATTAAATTTGAAACAATAAATTGATCAGTGACTGTGTTTAAACAGAGAAATCTTTGACAGTGTATACATGATAATCTTTGAAATAACATTTAAAGCTCTTGTTCAACTGGATACAGACTTGTATCATTTAACTCGGAATACACGAAAATAATGCTACACAAAATCCAAGTCGTAAACAAAACTAGAACTGAATGATACATTATAGTAAATGTGCCATTCTGGAAATGTAAACCAAGGCTTCCGGATCATGTCTGGTTGAGTTTACAAGTCACTACAGCAATATTTGTTTATTTCAGAAATATTCCCCGGTAAAGTATCTCTGTACACACTAGACAATGAATTATATATTTACAATATGTACTTCTTATTGTTATATACTTTGCCCTATGCCTGGCACAATATGAATAGTGGTTTATGTTCCCAGATTTTATTTTGGAGACAGCTGATGAAATCCACACAGCTCAGGGTTTGTGATTACAATAGAGACTGTTTATCTAGTCAGAAATGTTCTGGTACGTACGCTGTATATTTAAATTCAGACTGCTTGTCGGATTTTTTTCTTGTACGCAGTATTTTTAGGCCCTGAGTGATGATATTGGACATTGTTGTAAGATTGCACTTTGTCCGTCTCATCTTTTCTCAGCCTTTATTTTTCAAGAACACAATATTTCTTTCATAAAACTTCATATATATGTATAAATCTGGATTGCAGTGATTTCCGCTTCGTTTGATTTCTTGATTTGGGATTGTGAAGGAAATATGTAATTTTTGCAATTCTTCTATAGTTTTAGTGATATTGACAAGTCATTTGGAAAACTATAAATTTTTATTCAGATTGCATGTGAAAATATGATATCTTTATTGATAACTACTAATAAAAACAAAGTCAAGTATAAGTATTTTAATTTAACACAGTTATTGTTCCACAACACAATATGCTTGTATAATGTTACAGGTTTTTAGTGATAAAGATTCAATGCAAACAAGGTTTCATTATTCTGAATAGCTGTAGAAATATACATACACCTTTTGTTTAAGTTCTTTTAAGGAAAGAAATTGTTTTCTCTTAAATAATTTGACAACAGTTACAGTTGACCTACTTTCAGTATTTTTTTGCACTCTGGGCCATTTCAACTGGATAAAAGAAAGTGGCCTTAGATTTAACTTTGTTACTCAAGAGATGTTTAGTAGAATCACCAAGATTTAGCTTTCCTTCATTCTCACTGTAAATAGTGATAATATATTTGTTTACTCTATCTATTCAGTAAGTCATTCACATCTTATATCAAACATAGCTACTGCATAGGTGCACATTAATAACGGTACACAGTACAAGGCAAACCCTCATTTCCAGCACAATATATTGCACATTTTTCATGATGTATTCTGCTCCACCTAAGCTCTTGTTGAGCTCTGTGACATATTGTGGCAGTTATCAAATTAATCAAGTTAGGAAAATTATTATATGTCAGTAGTCGGTCCTTGTCAATTTCTGTGTGATTTAAAAAAATAAATTGTTTGGTTTGCACATAACAAGAATTTGACTGTTTATTGACTTTTTCATGTTTCGTTTCTAAGAAATTATTTTTCTGTCGTAAAACAGTCATTTCTATCTTCAACTGAAAGCAACATTTCTTTTTTACTTATTTAAAATATTGCTGAAATGAATTTATTGATAGGTCTTTGCTCCTAACAGACTGATACTGTAATTTTATGGCAATATTGTAATTTTATGGCAATAATCCATATTTTGTGTATTATTGATATAAATCCTGAAAAAAGTAAACAACACAAATATTACTTATAATTAGCACAGAGAGAGAGATGTAAAGCTGCAAGGGGCAACACAAGGCCTGCTCAATTTTGCACTAAACCACAAACAGTGTGCTGAGTTAGTAGATTCAGCTGTCAGAAAATATCAAGAAATTTTGCCGAATAGCAATGTAATATACTACAGGCAGTCAGAGGGAGGGGTTATTTGTTTACCCAATCCGCCCTTAGTGAATGTAGATATTTTCTGACAGCTGACTTCACCGACTCTACACACTGTGACTTGTTTTCAGCGGTTTAGAGTGGAGACAGCGGTCATTTGCACTCTTTTCTTGACAACGAAAACAAATGTTTTCGAAAGCTTGCAAATTAACTTTAAATTACTGTTTGTGTTCAAAACAAACTTAGCGTTTATTATTCGCAACAAACTGATGAATGCTATTCCGAACATTCTCAATATGTCAGAAACACATTAACGCTTTTTTTACAACTCGACAGAAATGTGGAAATGTTGCTTTAATAGAGTGCAGTACATGTACATCTTTTCCTCAATAAGTACACAAGGTTAATTTTAATCAGGTGATCCAAAATTAGGTCACAGCTTACAGCAGGTCTGCATTGAGCACTCTAATTAAGATAAACTAATATTAGTACTGACTTTAAATACTGAAATATGTGGGTAGGGGCATTAACAGTGTTTTTGTGGAAGAGGAAATATATTAATCCCTTACTTCACTGCGATAAGCAGAAAAACAATTTACCGGAGCATCTTAATTTCAAATGAATATTAAAGAAATTTGATGGTAGATGTACATGTACATACTAGTAATTCAAAATAGTTACTTTAATGTTTAATTGAATACCAGAAATAATGAAGTGTAAAATATGTTTTACAGTAATAAGACTTCAAGATTTTGTTGTTTTTATTTACATTTATAATATTGGCTCTGTTTTCACAAAACCTAAAAACATCTTGACACAGTCAGTCTGACCTCAGGTTTTTCAAACAATGATAAACAGATCTGAATATTTAAGCAAGCCTGTTGTATTTCTCCGAAATGACTTTTTCTCAATTAGGAATCTAGATATGACTTCAGTCTTAGTTCAGTGCTCTACCTGTTGATTTAGCAGATTTTAGGACAATACCGTCTAGTCGAGTCAGTAACAAGCGACTACCTGGTAGATGTTCATCAATGTAACATTTAGCTCCATGGAAAGTTATTGTCCTCAAATCTTCTACGACACATTCAAATTTGATCCTGGGGAGTAAAACAGTGTTTGGGAGAGCAAGGTGAAGGACATTGTACACAGTACCTAGATACCTACATTGGGATAGAAATGTTTTAGTATCTTCTCCAATTTGCAGATTCATGTTACGACAATAACCCTGAATAAAATCCATCCTGGACAGTTTGAATTCTCAATATATCTTATCAGCAAATGTATTTTATAACAGAAACTTGTCATTAATTATGTTGGATTTTCAACTGTGTTTTTGTGTTTCCAGTCCAGCTGTGGTCACAGTCCCTACACTGGAGTTTCCCAGTTTCTACAAACCACGAATAAAATCATGCAGTTCTCCGAGGGAAAGGAGCCCAAAAAAACTGACCGCATCGTCTATGTGGCAGGCGCATTCGATCTCTTCAGTATCCTTATGTACAATCTTTCAGAATTTTAAGCACTGTCAAACAGACTTAAATTCTGCTCCTGAAAAAATATTACGCCACTTAAGAAGATCATTGAGCATAAAGTGGTAATGCAGTAAAAAAAAAAAGTATAATGCCCCTTGTTTCAATTGCCACTTTGCTTACTGCCAACAATTTCAGAGACAAAGTTTCTTAACAATTCCTTCATAAATCTCATTTGATATATTGCCAAACCCCTATATAACGCCAACATTTATCTATACAAATGGTGGCAGTAATACAAGGTTTTACTTAATAATAATAATAATAATATACAACATTTATATAGAGCCCTATATAATTTGTAAAATTACTCTAAAGCGCTTTACAACATTTGGATAATAGTAATGGTTATAATTATGAAAACAAAAAACAAAGGCTTACAATCACTTTTATACATTTAAACAAGTAATGTGCACATAATTGAACAAATAAAAGGGTGGTATTTACATGACGTCTTTGCAAGGATTCTAAAATGCAGATGTGAAGAGGTGAGTTTTGATGTCCCTCTTGAACTTGCATATGGCTAGGGTATTTGACTTTCTAATAGCAGATGGTAAGCTATTCCATAGCATAGCCAAAACCCTCTCAAAGTATCTGTTTCCGTAGGTCACAGTACAAGATTTTGGGACACACAACAAAGATTCTGACTCCGAACGCAGTGATCGTGACGGCTGATACAGGGTAACAAGCTTCTGTATGTACTTAGGAGCTGTTCCATTCAGTGTCTTGTATGTGTACACCAGAATTTTGTACTGCGACCTGTATCGTACAGGTAACCAGTGCAGCGAATAAAGCACAGGTGTGATGTGCTCTCTCTTTCAAGTACGAGTATCTAGCCGTGCTGCAGTGTTCTGGACACTCTGCAGACGACTAGTTAGTTTGTCAGATATACCACAGAGCAGGACGTTACCATAATCCAACCGAGAGGTAACAAGTGAATTAATGCACCAAAATCTTGCATGTATCTGCAGTTATAAACTGACGTTCATTCAAATACTGATATCTGTCAGACAAGCTTCCAGACTTTCTGAGACTGTATCCCAACTGTCCTGTGGTTTGATGACCATGTAAATTTGTGTGTCATCAGCATAGCAATGATAGCGAGGACTATGGCGACAACAAATCTCTCCAATCGGTTTGGAGTAATACAGTATTTTCGTGGTCCCAACAATGACCCTTGATGAACCCTGAACTCTAGTACTTTGTCATGCGAGGTGGAAGATCCGATGGCAACACACTGTCGTCGTTCACTCAGATAAGACTGTATCCAGCATAGTGCGGTATCAGTCACTCCATAAGAGTATTCCAGACGTTCATAAAGTATGCCATTACTTTAGTACAACTCTTTTAATTTATATATAACTGGGTATGTAAGAAATTCTAAGCTGGACATTAACATCCAAAAATGTTAGCTCTGAATCAGACAACATCTACTTTTACAAATGGTATATTTCATGAGGTTTCTCTGTATACTTAGGTTAAAAACATTGTTCGACTTTGTCAGTAAAATATACATATAATACCACTTACAAAGGTAGATGTTGTGCAATCCAGAGTTTTTGTGGTATATAATGAGGCAATGCTGATATTGTTCCTTAACTGGTCCAGATGTTGGACACCTCGACTTCCTAGAGAAAGCTGCTAAGGAGGGGGACTTTGTCATCGTAGGACTCCACACAGACTCTGTAAGTATTACCAGGTCCATTGCCTGCAAGACAGAGCTTCAGTTGTATACATTTAAAAATATTCAAATTCAATCTGCTGAGGATAAATTTTGTTTAGCCTGTTCAATACCCAAAAGTGAAACTGGCTTCGGTATCACAAACGTACTTGAGTTTTGAGTCCGAACTCAAGAACTCAAGCACAGCATCAGTAATTCATCATCACAAACTAAAAACTCAGCTCAAAGCCTCAAGTTGAGGTCAAAAAGCTGAGACTGCCCCAAGAGCAGACTTAAGTTCGAACTCAAGCTCTGGAATGAAGCTGTTTGCAATCAAATGGTAGGCTTCGCGAACAATAATGACTTAGGATCACTCTTTATCTGATATGATATCTAAACAACTTAATAGATCGAAGGATGATGTATTCTGAAATATTACGCTGAATTTCTTCTGTTATCAATATATATATTAATAATTACCTTGATTCTCCAATGTGGTCATTGTCAATCTAACCCTATATAGAACTTGAAACATTACATTTTACCTGGTACTTTAGGTCTGGTATGGTCATTCATCTCCTTGGATAAAGTGTACAATACATTGCCATGCAATTCCTTGCAGTTGTTGTACATAACCCTTCTTTCTCACCATTTATGTTGTCTGGGTTACCAAGATGGCTTGTGTCTCCATCCTTCTGGGTGATCTCAACTTCCTTATAGAGTCATCAGAAGTTGTCTTCACTGTACGATGTATTGAGGATATGATGGGGCGATCAGAATCTGTCTTCACTGTACAATGTATTGAGAGTATTATGGGGCAATCAGAATATGTCTTTACTGTAGGATGTATTGAGGATATGATGGGGCGATCAGAATCTGTCTTCACTGTACGATGTATTGAGAATATGATGGGGTGATCAGAATCTGTCTTCACTGTACAATGTATTGAGAGTATGATTGGGCGATTCCCCTAAACACTATTCTTACATTGGAACATCATTATCACAGGAGCTTTTGTGTCATGATGAGTCAAAGAAAAAATTGTTATCACATTAGGACTCGCCACAATATACAAAACCATAAATGCAACAAAATGTCAAGTAAATCTATAATTATATTTGCATAATGATGATTAAAATGTTTCAATTTCATTTCAATCTGTATGTCGATTTCCTTGTAACTGTTGATATAATATGTTTCTTAGCTTTCCCAGAGTGTTTGGAAAGCTAATAATATCTATACTTGTTTTTTTTGGAGTCTTTCTCTATTGTTGCTCACTTAACCTTTTCACCACTGTAGGCCATAATGGACTCATCCATATCAATGCACGGTAGAGTTTACTAAAGTTGCAAAGGGATGAAAGGGTTAACTTTTCTCATGCAAGTTTTCTTGTTTCCAGGTGGTGAACCGATACAAGGGAGCTAACTACCCAATAATGAACCTTAACGAGAGAGTTCTCGGTGTTCTGGCATGTAAGGTAGGTGTAAGCTGAATCATTAAATCTGGTAACACTAATGATACTTATACATGTATCTCCCAACTACTCATTGATTCACAAGTATGATCATTATTATCATTGCATTGAAATGTACAATCAAATAAAATAGTATTGTTTCACATTGTTGTAAATTTCCACAGTTCCTGAAGAAGGCCATGAAGTTAGGAACATTGTTTATTATTACGTAACACCTCACTTTCAGAAAGCAATCAAGATCTTAAAGAAAATGAAACATGAACAGAAGTATTCATTTAATGATTTACTTGTCAATATGATGTGTGTGTTGGAGGGATTAGAAGGGTTCTTCTCTCCGAGGGAAATCTATATCACAGTTTTACATTTCTTTTTCACTGATTTATTTGATCATTTGTATTTCATTACAGTACCACTATACATATCATTAGCTATAATTGGCTGTTTTGTGTATTTATTAGTATGTTTCGGAGGTTGTGATTGGAGCACCCTACGATGTCACTAACGATCTCATGGAACACTTTAAGGTAAGTCTCATTTTCTTAGGCCAAAGAGAAAAACAAAACCCCATGTATGTAAACTGGGATGTTTCAGTGCTAAATGGATTATTGTGATCAAAGACTTGCTCTTTGGTGATTACTTGAAAAATTATTCAACAGAATTTTTAAAGTTTTTCTGATTTGAGGGAGCTTGATAAGTCATTACAGGATAAAAAAACCAATAGTCATCATAAAATACCATGAACACACGTTTTTCCTTGCGTCTTTTAATATTGAAAAGTTTATAAGACGAGAGGACTTACTATTATATCGAGTTGTCTGTCAAGAGACCTTCTCATTCATTTTTTGACCAATCTTCTTGAAACTTGGAAGGCTTAATAATTATCAATGTAGTTGTGCATGTTAGTTTGGAACTTTGATTCAGACTGTTTTTACCATTTTTTGTGCCTTTTTTTTGCATCCATGTGTTGTGCTTTTGTTCTCTAAGTTCACCTGATAAACAGATACTGTATTGGCAAAGAAAGTTAATTTCATTGATAACGTTTCTTAGTACCTGTATATGCGTTCTTAATTATTTACAATACAAAATTTTCATTTCTTATTAAGATATATAAGTCCTGGTGCAGTTATTGTATGTAACATGCTGGACTGCTAAAACATCATTCAAATAAATCCAAACATATTTTAGTTAAAAATCTGCGTTTCTGCTACATTGCTACAGGTTGACACTGTTTGCCATGGAATGACGCCAGTGATGCCAGCAGAGGATGGCTCTGACCCCTATGCTGTAAGTACACCTCCTTAGAATCCATGTTTGATTTCCAAAAGGTGGAAAAAGATAAATCTTTCAGAAAATAAACATTCACTCTCCTGGCACTGTTATGTGAAAGTTATTTTTGAGTACTGTGTACTTAATTCTTTGGAAATGGCTTATTTGTGGTCAGCACTGTTACCAAGTAAGAATAAGATTAAATGTATACTTGCTATAACTTTCATTTGGGGAATATAAGTTCAGAAGGTGATGGACTAACAATTATTTGAACTCCGTTTTTTTGGTCACACTCAGTCTGTCGATAAATAAAATAATTTTCATGACCCTGTCTTTCACTAGGTTCCAAAGAAGTGTGGTAAATTTAAGACCCTGGACAGCAACAACGAGCTGACAACTAGGATGATAATAGAGAGAATTATTGCCCACAGGTAAGTTTCCGACACAGCGACTCTCCGTATCAATGTTTGTGGCAGTGCTTTGGTGGTATTTGCTGTGGCCGTAGGTTCGAACTTTCATTGTTTACATTATACACTCAAATAACCAGTATATTCAATCACCAAACTTTTTTTAGTTTCTCTTCTATCATGCACACGGGTTATGAATAGTATTAGTGTTTCAAAGTTGCATTGATCATTTTGGAGGTTTTTTAAAAGTGTTGAGTTGAAAATCAGCAGCAGTAAACATCCGCGTGGCAACAAGATATTGAAGTGGATATTTCATTCTGTCTGTACATGCATGTGTACCTTTCCCCCTCACTCTAGCGGCTTCATAACAGATTTTGATCAAAATGATAAAACCTTGAAGCAGGTTTGTTTATCAGGGCATGTTGGTCAAGATCAAAGATGCTATCTTCTATAACTATTTACATAAAATCTGTATCATTCTACCAACTTTCTTACTCTCTGGGAGAAAACTTAAACATTTACATGCCTTTTTTTTAAGTATCGGGGAATAAAGTTGCTAGAAAAATATGTAACTTGGTGCTTTTGACGTGACGCAAGGTACATACTTTATTACAGATGGTTAGGCATATTCGGGAATTTGTGCCATGTATCATGCCTTTTTTTATATAATGTTGAAAAATGAGTTTGCTAAAAAAAAATGAATTTTGTTTTACATCCTTAAACAAGTGTGCTATATACTGTTGCTATTACTTAAGCTGCATTGAACATCTATGTGCCTGCATGCTTTCCTCAACAAGAATGCTGTGTTTTGTTGCTGAAGAAAATATTGAAAATATCTGCATGATGCCCTCACCATGAATACCTTGGATGTTGTCTGAACAACAAATATATGGTTGTCACCATTGAACACGATGCTGTGGTTGTCACAATTTAAAAACATTATGGTTGTATCATAAATGAAGTTAAAACCCTTTCACCCCTATGTAACTTCAGTAAACTCTACCATGCTTTGACCTGGATGAGTCCATTATGGTCTACAGTGGTGAAAGGGTTAATAGTTGTACAATTAAACAGCTGTAGTCTAAGCATTTGACATTCATACTTTCATGAATACAAATGATATGGTACAACCTCAATGCTTGTATGTTTGCATGCTTTGATCTATAATTGGAACATTTCAGCATTTCTGAACGAAGATATTCTGAATGTTGCTGTTAAAAAAAAGTCTGTGGATGTCATCATTGCAGAAAGATTGAAGTGTTTTACTCAGTAGGAACTATTTGTCACTACTGAAAATATCAGTGACATTTGCAGTGACAAAACGAGTCATAAAAAAATGAATTCAGATTCTTTCCAAAAAAAGAGTAATTAATTTGTCATCATGAAGTGACACTTGTTCAAAATAAAATGTTTTACTCGTTGATTGGGTGTCACAATTGAAGAAAGTGAAAATTGATGGTGGTATCACTATGAAGTTGATGGGTGTAACAAATGAACTGCTGTACTAACCATCAAGCGTCCCTGAATGTAAATATTTTCACACCCTTAATGCTTGTATGTTTGCATGCTTTCCTGATAAGAGTCATCATTATGCAACTTTGAATATGAATAGCTTGGAAATTTGCTATTAGAAAAATCCAACACGTTGTTGATCATCACCATTGGACATTGATTCCTAAGAGAAATTATATTGTCACTGTTGACACATGATCTTGTAGTTGTCAGCTTGTCACTGTTGAAATAAAGAGGCATCACCATTTTACAACTCTGGCTGTCACTATTGAACAAGAGTATAGTTGTCACCATTGAACAAATCTATGGCTGTCACCATTGAACAAATCTATGGCTGTCACCATTAAACAAGTCTATGGCTGTCACCATTGAACAAATTTATGGCTGTCACCATTAAACAAGTCTATGGCTGTCACCATTGAACAAATTTATGTCTGTCACCGTTGAACAAATTTATGGCTGTCAACATTAAACAAGTCTATGGCTGTCACCATTGAACAAATTTATGGCTGTCACCGTTAAAAGGTCTATAGTTGTCACCATTGGACAAATATGTGGTTGTCATCATTAAAGAAACATGTGGTTGTCACCATTAAACAAATCTGGTTGTCACCATTGAACAAATCTATGGTTGTCACCATGAAACAAATCTATGGTTGTCACCATTGAACAAATCTGTGGTCTGTGGTTGTTACTATTGAACAAATCTATGGTTGTCATCATTGAACAAATATGTGGTTGTCATCATTGAACAAATATGTGGTTGTCATCATTGAACAAATCTATGGTTGTCACCATTGAACAAATATGTGGTTGTCACTATTGAACAAATCTATGGTTGTCATCATTGAACAAATATGTGGTTGTCGCCATTGAACAAATCTATGGTTGTCACCATTGAACAAATCTGTGGTTATCACCATTGAACAAATCTATGGTTGTCACCATTGAACAAATCTACGGTTGTCACCATTGAACAAATATGTGGTTGTCACCATTGAACAAATCTATGTTTGTCACCATTGAACAAATCTGTGGTTGTCACCATTGATCAAATCTGTGGTTGTCACCATTGAACAAATCTATGGTTGTCATCATTGAACAAATATGTTGTTCTCATCATTGAACAAATCTACGGTTGTCACCATTGAACAAATATGTGGTTGTCACCATTGAACAAATCTATGTTTGTCACCATTGAACAAATCTGTGGTTGTCACCATTGATCAAATCTGTGGTTGTCACCATTGAACAAATCTATGGTTGTCATCATTGAACAAAAACAATGTGGTTGTCACCATTGAACAAATCTACGGTTGTCACCATTGAACAAATCTATAGTTTTTACCATTGAACAAATATGTGGTTGTCACTATTGAACAAATCTGTGGTTGTCACCATTGAAAAGCAATTTGCACTTAACTATCGCTGAACATGGAACGAGGCTAATATTCTATCATCATTGCAATTGAACAGACCTGAAGTCTGTGCAGCTATTGCATGCTTTGTTCATCTCAAAAAATGTTGTGGCATTTTAGTGTTGTCATCCCCAAAATGCATGGCTGTGCATGTCTGCCTGACTTCGCCTCTGTTCGCAGTTATCTATGCATGCTTATATGACATAGACTCCTAGTCCCGCCCTGTTTTCTCATTACAGGCTTCAATACCAAATAAGGAACAAGAAAAAGTCTGAGAAAGAATTGAAGATATTGGAAGCTCTGTTCTAGGTGTGGAATTGTACCTTTCCTGTGATTTATAGTGCGGATCCCATCTGAGAGAGACACATTGATCATTTCCTTTGAGTTTTGGTTCCTCCATATGTAATCAGGCCCTTCATTTGTTTGCATCTTTATTAATCTTTTCATGAATCTGTGGAATCATATGAATATCTTGCCTAATGATGGAAACATGACATCTTATAAGACAGGAACATTTATTCTTGGTTTTCTATCATAATCTTCATCGGTTCCTAACAGTACATCTTTGATTCTGCATCATCAAATATACCATGCTCAAGTAGTCAAAATGTATATGCATTGTAAGCCACAATATTTTTCTCCCTGAATTTTTGCTATGTATGTACTTATCATTCCTGCATCTCAGACAGATACCCCATATGATACCCCTAGCTAGAGTTTTCTATCTCATTTGATTAGTCTGGCACATTTACCGAGGTATGTGAAATAGGCCACATTGTTTTTTCAAGGGGATGTCAACAGTCTCGACTCTGCATCTAAAATATGCTATTTAATTGATGATACTCCTTATAAGATATAGTGTTCAGCTGTGATGTTTTCTCTTACTAATTACTTTAACGCAAAAGTAATCAAACATAGCTTTAAGAGACCAAATAACTGGGGAAAGGGAGGGGCGGGGGGGCAGGCTTTAAAACTTCATATCTGGTTCTTGTAAACTGTTAATGAAATGCTGTTCAAACTAATGAGGTGATAGAAAAAAAAATAGTTTTCTGTAACTGTTGGAGATCAGGCTATTGCAGTCAAAGATTCTGCGACATCCCAACCTCTGCTTAACCTAGGTTGTGATTATGTTACAGGTTAACCCTTGTCCCAGATAACCTGATCTTGCTCAGTTACAGAATATTGATTTTAGTAATTCTATGAATTGTATATATTATTTTTTAGTTGTGTGTTGAATTAAGCGTAAATTTTGAATAACAAGAAGTTTGGGATACAGATAGCATGAATATTTCTCCAGTAAAATGTGGCACATAATTTATAATGTGCTTGTAATGTTAATGGTAAGAGATATTTGAGTATGTCTGTCATTAAGGTCGAATGAGTGTATTGATAAACGGAAATAGGAAGTACATCCCTAGTTGAAAATCCAATGTATGGAGACAGTATCACAATTTCCGCATATTCTAATGAGTCCAGATTTGTGATGAATATTAAATGTTAATTATTGACAGAACAGTGTGTTCTGTCAAAATTAAAGTATTTCAAAGCAATCAAGGGATTCATTCAGTTGTTTTTTATCAATGAGTCACATATGTCCACTTTCCTGTACTTCAGGAACCTGGCTACTATTTCACTACTGTGAAGTTTTTCAAGAAAGATAACTCTTACATGCAATTACTATGTGTATATGGTTTTATTATAAAATGTCAATTTTTAATCATTTATAGATAATTGATATTACACAATTTCAGCATTTATTAAATTGATATACATTAATGCAATTCTAATCTATGGCAGTATCGTTTTTGTTGACATTATTTTGCAAAAAATTGTGTCTTTCATAAAAAAATTCAAAATTCACTCCTTTTTACATAAATTTCCATTTAAAATCCTTAAAATTCAGACAACCTATACTTTTTTGTGGCAGAAAATTTTCTTTACTTCAAAGCAATATAACTACAAAATTTGAAGAAATTCTACTGAGAAATGGTGACACAGTCCTATTACCTTAAGGGATATGATGATGACTAACCAAGTGAGTGTTTCTTTTTTCCAGGCTCCAATACCAATTAAGAAACAAGAAGAAGTCGGAGAAGGAGCTCATGATAATGGAAGCTTTGACAAAAAATAATGTTGAGAAATAAACCAGATCTACATTGACCCTGACCTTCAACCAGTGACATTAACAAAACCATGAATTTGTCCATAAGGATGAATAGCAAGCTAGGTGAATGCAGCAATGTCTTCTATTTACTGTTGACTTTGGAAATGGCTCTTTTGAATGACAATAATGTTGGCTTGAACCCAGAGGTCGGGCCAAGGTAATGGGTTGGCCTCAATGAAAACCAGGCTGCATTGGGCAGCTACTTTCTTTATTAACTCATTCACCCCTGAAATTTCATAATAAACTATTCCAACCTTTGTATTGGAAGAGTTCAAATGTGTCTTTAAGGATAAATGAGTTAATGTTTACCTTTCCAGTTCACAAACCTATATATAATGTATTTTACTTGATATACATACACCATTTTAACTGTCATGTATCAGGACATATGCTATTTCTTGTATTGAACCCTGCAAGAAATAAAACAGAGGAATAACCATAATATTCATTTAAAAATAGCATATGCTATGAAATCCTCCGCTATGTATATGTGGCAGGTTTTAATTCTGCATAGGATTAATGTCGCCTTCTAGCTTCGAGCTAGAGTGAATTTCCCTTTAGCTCAGTGGTAGAGCGTATGACTAGGAACCTGGAGATCGAGGGTTCGATCCCCGTTGGAAGCACACTATTCTCTTTCCTGTAACATATATATATATATGTGATCTGTAATGTCAGGTTAATATTGATGTTAATTCTGAGTTGTGCAGTGATGATTTGGTTACCAATCATACTAAATTCCTTCTTTTTTAAGTCGAAAACACAGGTTTATGTTACAGAAGAGCATGTAAAATGAAACCTACAGTATAGCAAAGAACAGTCAACATTTCATGCGACGATCTCTATTAAATAAGAATGTTCCAAAAATTCAGTAATTTCTTTGTGAACTGATCCTGTATTAAAAGACCACATTTTTGACCTCCTATGAGTAGTCTTATTAATACAGGTTTGACTTTATAGTATCATAACTGAGAGATTCTTTTTTAAATATTTCTAAAGTTCTGCTTATCCATAATAAACCTATACAAAGTGAGCAATTCTCAGTAATTTGATTCAGAATAAATGGACTGTATGTACCAGTCTATTTAGCAATTTTATGTTAAAAAAGAAAGAATTAGTTGTTGGTGCCCTTTTGGGCGACGTAAATATATTAAATATTGTAATATGTCTGGATATTTTTATGTTATATACATTATTGTGATAGTCTTAGTACATAATGTTTCTTTCTGCTGATATTCCGACTTTGTGTTCTTTTCTGTCCTTGTTAGGCGCTGTCACAAAAGATGTTGTTTATAGACTGTATTGAGTTTTACACTGTGACTTACACACTTTGGCTGAAACAGATATAAACTGAAGCTGTGTCATTCCGATTGGTTTTCGTGTAGAGTGTCAACTACTTAATACTATATGACATGAAATACGTTTGTAAGTATTTTCTTTTGTTTAGTTTGAAGCCAAATAGTGGTAAAAACTGTTGTGGATACCCCATATAAACAAGCAGTAGTCAAGGGTCATCATGAATTTGTTTTCGTGGTTCCATAAAAATCACGAAAAGCATGTATGCTTAAAAATACAACAAACATTTCGTGTTATACAGTAAGTGACGTATGAGGTGTGTAAAATCATAATACATGTGTCAAATGGTTTCCACTGCAGGACACATATACAAACTAATATTTATAGTCTTCAAATCTGTTGAATCGTCACAAAATATTTTACAATGAAAAATAGGTATATAACAGAACAAATGTGCAGCAAGGCTTAGCTATGATTATGTATTGAAACCTTTCACTTCAAAAGTTTTTTTAAGACTTATTTAACTTGGAGAATAACTACATTAATGTATCACAGAGATTTAATGTAGTACAAAGATGGTCCCAGTAATCATGTTATTTTTATTAGGACATGAATTTATCATTTGTATACTATGTATACTTAAGGAGAATTGGTCTTTAATACCATAGACCACAGAACAAAATGTGGTTAAAAGTGAGCGTGTCCAGCAAAACATTAATTGGCATAAGGTGAACATTTATGCTGTAACTGAACAAATAAGAACTCATTTTTAATTCATATTTTTCAGGTATTTGTAACTTACCGAACAATTCATTTTAACTTTAGCTCCCTCTTGGTAGAATTTTTGTTTCACAACAATTGCTTTTCCTGATATATATCTAGGTGTTGTGTATCTAAGTGTACTTACATAAATCATGATTAATTCCTATTTTGCTGATTCAGATTTTTAACGAGGGATGCATGTAAGTCATTCAGGAGGGTGCAAATAAAGAACTAAAATTGATTCGTTTGCTTTGTTGTTATTCATATATAACATTTCTATGGCTGCTTTTTCCTTTTTAAACTGTAAGAGACCACAGAATATCCCATCACCTCGATGTACAGTTTGAGATAGTGTCATTGAATGTACACATGAAATTCTTGCACGCCTTTCAGCTCTCCAGATATAATATTTGAGAATTTAATGCTCAAGTTTTGTGGGGTCAAATTTTTAGTTTTGTTAGTGGAACTAAACTCCTGAACTCCAAAATGTATCTCCCTATCAGAAGGGTAACAAAATTGCATTATTTATATTTATGAATGTTTTTTAGGACAATGTTTATTTTGAACAAGCAAATTCGTGGAATTTATACCTCCCGCTTGCAGGACATATTGTAGGTTAATATTATTGAGGTAAGGTTTAAACATGTCAGTATCGTGCCGTTGAGACATAATGTATAGCTTGAAACTTGAAGAAAAAAAAGCCCTATACCTCATTGATTATCCGTAAATATGCACAAATCACATTGGTTGGCAAATTTAGCATGAGTTGGATGTACATAAGGAATTTGGTTGAAACATCTTAACAATATCTACAGCAATAAGTACTAATGGTAATTGGAGACCATTACAGATGTCCCCCAAACTGCCCCCATAGTCGCAAAGATTCATCAGAAAAGGATTGCATTGCCATAGTACACCTACAATGTACATACTAAATTTGAGTGAAATTGAGCAATTTATTGCAACCAATCAGAATCCTGTGTAGTTGCTATGGCAACGGAACATATGCAATTGAATTTGCAGTCCCCTAATACCCCTATATACCACTTTTCATCGAAATCAAACAATATCTAAATTGCGACCAATCAGAAGCCCGCATGTGGTTGCTATGGTAATGAAACTTATGCGGTTGAAATTGCAGTCCCCTTATACCCCTCTATAATGATTTTCATGAAAATCGAACAATATCTGAATTTTCACCAATCAAAAGCCTTCCTGTGGTTGCTATATGGTTGCTACCGCAACGAAACCTATATGCGGTTGAATTTGCAGTTGCCTAATATCCCTATATACCAGTTTTCGTCAAAATCGAACAATACCAAAATTTCGACCAATCAGAAGCCTCCGTGTGGTAGCTATGGTAATGAAACAGATGCGCAGTCCCCTAATATCCCTATTTACCAATTTTCATCAAAATCGAACCAAGTTTGAAGAAAATCAGTTAACATTTGTTGTAGTTAATTGCACGGAAACAAAACGTGGCAGATAATGACGTTTCATTATTCAAGGGGCCATAACTCCGCTTAATGGGGTCCTCTGAAAGTCGTCATTGAACTTGGCCGAGCCCTTAAGGCATTTAACCCTGTGACCAAGTTTGAAGAAAATCGGTTAACATTTGTTGTAGTTATTGCATGGAAACAAAGCGCGGCAGATAAGGACGTTTTTCATTGTTCAAGGGGCCATAAATCCGCCAAATGCGGTCCGATGAAAGTGGTCTTCGAACTTGGCCGAGCCCTTAAGGCATTTAACCCTGTGACCAAGTTTGAAGAAAATCTGTTAATATTTGTTGTGGTTATTGCACTGAAACGAAGCGTGATAGACGGACAGACAGACCCATATTAATATCCCCCGTTTCGGTGAAAGTGGGGGATAAAAATAAGACCTTTGCAATACAGCAAAATCCTTCCAATACATATCAATATTAATGCATTGGCACTTTTGATTTCATTCAAAATGATAAAAAAAAAAATGCTACTTACTAGGCCAGGTGGTTTTGAACAAAATAAAACGAGAAATTTGAACTTTTAGAACACTGTTCCGGCATGAATCTTTAAAGAAAGCAAAATCAACTAACCAGAATGTTCTTTGAAAGTAAAAAAGACAATTCAGAAAAAAAAAGCTCATCCTGTAAATGAATAATATTTTTTTTTTTAATAATAATAGACACTTTTGTCATTCACATTTCATTTTAATACAAAATGCACGATAAGCCACAACAACAACAGATTTCCAAATCTGCTATTATTTTCATGATTGGATAGGTCCTAGATTTATACATATAACGTAACAGCTTTAACATATATAGTATGTGTTCATTGTAACAAAATTACCAGATCTACCAAATGTTCGAAAATTTCTATACATCTTCCTATGATGATGTACAGCGTCAAGTTATGTTTTTCAGTAACAAGGTAGGCCGAAACACCTTGTCATTTGAGATATTCAAAAAGCAGGATGACATCAGCACTTCTCCAAATCCACCTTTGTAATGGAACAGCTTTGATAAGTCCTGGGATACTGACACACTTAGAAACATTTCCTGTCTACAGTCACTAGACTCGCTCTGACAGCCAGATTGCACCTTTACATCCAAGCTTGATCACTGTCGTCATGGTATCATAAAAGGGGGCCTGGAAAATGGAGTAAATATCATTACATGTACTGTTAACCTGGTTTGTTATCTTGAAACTTTTACATAAAAACTAATAAGTGTAAAACTACCATATGGGGATACATCACAATCTCTCTAACCATGTTTTATAAACTATTGAAAACTTGCTTTTAAAGCATTTACATAAAAAAAGGTAAATGTATAAGCACATGTATATGTTTACAGATGTTATACATATAACAACCAGATTTTAAAACAACTACAACTAAACTAAGGACTCGCCCCATACACATACGTACGTGTGTGCATATGTGCAGATGTCACACTCATTGTCATCACTCTACCGACTTTATTTCTCAACAGAATTTCATGAAACTTCATGCAAGTGTTTGGTATGACAATACCTTGAACAAATTTGCATTTCAGGTTACTTTATTAAAAGTGAAGGTCACTTTTATTATTCTAAGAAATGTGAGGGGATTTGTATCACTTGTGATGCCTTGTTCATGATTTAAACAATAATTGAGAAAGTAAATTGCTGTGTGTCACCCGACACTATATATTTACACATTTCATACTAATATTGCAAAGGTCTATAAACAAAAACTTCTTCAAACAGTTTTCTTTGCCTGACTATGTATATACTGTAAATCACTTATTTCTCAATACATTTAATAATAAAATGTACTCAGAAGACATTTGCTCATTATAATGAACTCTACAATTGCAAAATCTTCCTAAGTCTATCATAAATTGTATGCACTCAACAAACAAAACATCTTTTGTCTCTACTCATTTATCAAATTAGGTAAAAATCAAATGTTTGATTTCCTAAAACAACCCCTGGTTGGACAGACACTGAAAATGACATCAATTCAGAGAATGGGTCAGATAGTTGTTCATACCTTTTCTGCATCGTGTTCTAATCCAGTGTCATGATGGTGGAGTTCGTCATCTCGAAACTGTTTGATTGTCTGTAAAATGGCAAGGATAATGCTTTGAAATGATTACAGGTGGTGCTACTATGTAGCTATCATCAGAGATTCCTAGGGATTATATAATATTCTGACACGGTAAGGTATCTGTCCTGGGCACATTCTTACTTCAGAGGTGGCTATCATCAGAGATTCCTAGAGATTATAATATTCTGACACAGTAAAGTATCTGACCTGGTCACATTCTCACTTCAGCGGTGATGCTACTATGTAGCTATCATCAGTCATTCCTAGGGATTATAATATTCTGACACAGTAAGGTATCTGACCTGGTCATAATGCTTTGAAATGATTACAGGTGGTGCTACTATGTAGATATCATCAGAGATTCCTAGGAATTATAATATACTGACACGGTAAGGTATCTGACCTGGTCACATTCTTACTTCAGATATGGAACTACTATGTAGCTATTATCAGAGATTCCTAAGGATTATATAATATTCTGACACAGTAAGGTATCTGACCTGGTCACATTCTTACTTCAGCGGTGATGCTACTATGTAGCTATCATCAGAGATTCCTAGGGATTATAATATTCTGACACGGTAAGGTATCTGACCTGGTCACATTCTTACTTCAGATATGGCTATCATCAGAGATTCCTAGGGATTATATAATATTCTGACAGGTAAGGTATCTGACCTGGTCACATTCTTACTTCAGAGGTGGTGCTACTATGTAGCTATCATCAGAGATTCCTAGGGATTATATAATATTCTGACACGGTAAGGTATCTGACCTGGTCACATTCTTACTTCAGAGGTGGTGCTACTATGTAGCTATCATCAGAGATTCCTAGGGATTATATAATATTCTGACACGGTAAGGTATCTGACCTGGTCACATTCTTACTTCAGAGGTGGTGCTACTATGTAGCTATCATCAGAGATTCCTAGGGATTATATAATATTCTGACACGGTAAGGTATCTGACCTGGTCACATTCTTACTTCAGAGGTGGTGCTACTATGTAGCTATCATCAGAGATTCCTAGGGATTATATAATATTCTGACACGGTAAGGTATCTGACCTGGTCACATTCTTACTTCAGAGGTGGTGCTACTATGTAGCTATCATCAGAGATTCCTAGGGATTATATAATATTCTGACACGGTAAGGTATCTGACCTGGTCACATTCTTACTTCAGAGGTGGTGCTACTATGTAGCTATCATCAGAGATTCCTAGGGATTATATAATATTCTGACACGGTAAGGTATCTGACCTGGTCACATTCTTACTTCAGAGGTGGTGCTACTATGTAGCTATCATCAGAGATTCCTAGGGATTATATAATATTCTGACACGGTAAGGTATCTGACCTGGTCACATTCTTACTTCAGAGGTGGTGCTACTATGTAGCTATCATCAGAGATTCCTAGGGATTATATAATATTCTGACACGGTAAGGTATCTGACCTGGTCACATTCTTACTTCAGAGGTGGTGCTACTATGTAGCTATCATCAGAGATTCCTAGGGATTATATAATATTCTGACACGGTAAGGTATCTGACCTGGTCACATTCTTACTTCAGAGGTGGTGCTACTATGTAGCTATCATCAGAGATTCCTAAGGATTATATAATATTCTGACACGGTAAGGTATCTGACCTGGTCACATTCTTACTTCAGAGGTGGTGCTACTATGTAGCTATCATCAGAGATTCCTAGGGATTATATAATATTCTGACACGGTAAGGTATCTGACCTGGTCACATTCTTACTTCAGAGGTGGTGCTACTATGTAGCTATCATCAGAGATTCCTAGGGATTATATAATATTCTGACACGGTAAGGTATCTGACCTGGTCACATTCTTACTTCAGAGGTGGTGCTACTATGTAGCTATCATCAGAGATTCCTAGGGATTATATAATATTCTGACACGGTAAGGTATCTGACCTGGTCACATTCTTACTTCAGAGGTGGTGCTACTATGTAGCTATCATCAGAGATTCCTAGGGATTATATAATATTCTGACACGGTAAGGTATCTGACCTGGTCACATTCTTACTTCAGAGGTGGTGCTACTATGTAGCTATCATCAGAGATTCCTAGGGATTATATAATATTCTGACACGGTAAGGTATCTGACCTGGTCACATTCTTACTTCAGAGGTGGTGCTACTATGTAGCTATCATCAGAGATTCCTAGGGATTATATAATATTCTGACACGGTAAGGTATCTGACCTGGTCACATTCTTACTTCAGAGGTGGTGCTACTATGTAGCTATCATCAGTGATTCCTAGGGATTATAATATTCTGACACGGTAAGGTATCTGACCTGGTCACATTCTTACTTCAGAGGTGGTGCTACTATGTAGCTATCATCAGTGATTCCTAGGGATTATAATATTCTGACACGGCAAGGTATCTGACCTGGTCACATTCTAACTTCAGAGGTGGTCCTACTATGTAGCTGTTATCAGAGATTCCTAGGGATTATAATATTCTGACACGGTAAGGTATCTGACCTGGTCACATTCTTACTTCAGAGGTGGTGCTACTATGTAGCTATCATCAGTGATTCCTAGGGATTATAATATTCTTACACAGTAAGGTATCTGACCTGGTCACATTCTCACTTCAGAGGTGGTGCAACTATGTAGCTATCATCAGTGATTCCTAGGGATACACCACTAATAGAGAAAGGAAAAGGAGATAAAAAATATAGAGATCCTAAGTGTTCTCAGCAAATTGTTTAATGTATCTTCATTGTTTCCATTCAGAGGTCTTAATTCTAAAAATCTGCAGTTACCAAACATTAGTCTAGTCCAGGTATATGCTAGCCTAGCTATCTCACGAAAAAGCACTTTTATTGAGCTGACCGTCCTTGTAAAGAGGTTCATACCTGTATTAATTCTTTATGTTGTTCTGGGTCATCTTCTATAAGATCACGAAGCTGGCTGAAATAAACAAACACTCTGGTAAACTTTTAAGCAGCATAACATTCATTTTAATATATTTATGCAACTATTAAGAGATTTTCTGAAATTCATTTTAAAACATGATACATACCCGGCAGTATATTTAGGTTTCTTAAAAACCACAACCCAATCAATGGAGGTTCAATTCACATTTTGTGTGTGTCCACCTCTATACATATTATCTATTGTAAACTATTTCTTTGGATTTTGACCTAACCTGTACGTTTTGAAAGTCTTGCAGGATCAAATAAATATTTTTTGATATAATCTACAAAGAAATTGTGGGAAGTTTTATATTCAAAAACAAATATAATCTCTTGAAAGGCAGATCAGTATTGTATACCACTTTATTTTTCTGTCCTTCAAACACTTACACACGTAATATTGCTGAATAATATGAAATATTGCTGTATGTTTCCATTATACCTACCTGTTATAATGTTCCCCTATCACAGTTTCCACTGCCACTGTACAAGCCATGGCACCTTCCTTACCAAGCATTGCAGACCCAGCCCCTGAATTGACATCATCACAAACGTATCAGAAAATATTTGACATACTTTTGTCAGTTGGGTAGAAGTGTATATGATATATTTATAGTAAAACCCTGTTGTAATGCCACCCGTTAAACCGCCAAACCCGCATACCGCCATTTATTGACTCAGAACGGATTTCCCCAACGTTAATGCACCCATTGTAAGGCCAAATCCGCATACCACCATTCGCCATCATATTCCCAGAACAAATGGTTAAAATCACACTATTTTGACCTTGTTAAATATCGCCAATTTGAGTTGAGTATATCAACATTCGTTTCCAGAAAAGTCACCTATCTTAAAATATGTTTCATCTGAACGATTAATCTACTTTTAAGCAGCTTTAATCCAAGAACTGTGAAGTGCCTCAAGACAGAACATTATGCCCTACATACCAAGTACAAAGCCTGCCACATTCCAGATGGGTAACATCACTGTTGGTCTGGCACGATGTTGTACAACCAATTTCTCAAAGGTCTCTAGATGATGCTTTTCTTCATCCCACATTTTCTAAAATAGACAAAACTCGAAACTTTATTTCCCTTGTGTCAATATTGTGTAAAACACTGTGTGTTCATTGCTCTGTGGAGTTTCTGTCTACCAGTTACTAATGGATGTTCCAGCTGATTTTCATTAAATTTAAGATGAACAAGAGTCCCCACTAAAAGCTCAAACATGATTTCAGGCGAGCATGGACAACACAGCAGAAGCTTGCTTATGAACTATAAGCAATAGTTTGACAAGTAACGCAGTTTTGTCCATGGTCCGTACAATGGTTTAATATTTTTCTTGTGCCGAGACCTTCACATATGGTTACAAAATTAACAGTGGTACAGGACCCAACAAGCATTATAGTGATCTGACCTTTGACCCCTTGTTATAACCTTGACATTGGGATGCAAACCCCATGAGATGTATGCGACACTCTCTAGTCAAGAATGAAAAGAAATATGCTTTCCAAAATTTATGTTCTAGACAAAGTTATGGGACAAACTGTTTCAAGTTATTGACTTATTACTTACGCTTCCTGAACATAAACACAATATTATATCTACAAAAGTGTAAAATATTTTGTAGTAAAACCCAGTATGTTTTTTAAATTGTTATCCTAGTGTTTTAAACCTCTAAAGGGAAAATTATATTGGCTTTCTTTTTACGTTTGTTGGTAGTACATTCATGTATCAAATGACAAACCGAAGTACAAAATGTAGAAAAGGCTAGTCACTTAATTTTATAAGTTGAAGTTTTTCATTGGAAAAGTTACCTTGATGACAGGTCCAGTGGCTGTGTTACCAAGAATGGCATGTTGACCAGCATAAATTCGGTCAGCTCCAAGCTCTCCAGCATGGTCAATTCTTATTATTCGGTCCACCAGTGCTCGTGTCCGTGCAGACTTGGCCCGGGTACTGATTCCACGGACACTAACACGACAAATCAGTGGCAAGGACATGACTGTATAATGATGGCTTGACACAAATTCTAAAACAAATTAAAATCAAAGATTTAAATGAAGTAGAAGTAGACAAATGTGCTGCCCTTAAAAGAGTTAAATTTTCTAAAATGACACGTCAATTGGTGATGTATCTACATTGTTTTTCGTGGACTGTTTCAGCCTGATGTGCTCCATTTGAATTATGGAAAAGAAATCTTTTCCCACAATTTTAAAATTAAAAGAAAAAAAAGAATTCTCTCAACAAACTTTCATTTTCATATTTTCCTGATAAATGCTTTATAGCAAGGAGGAATAAAACCAAAAAGTAAAGAGAAAGACAAGAAAAAAGTAGATGTTTTACCAAGCCATTCAATTTTACTTTATTAAAGATTGCCAAAATTAGCAACAAACAAACCATTCAGATTGCTATGTCTCGCCTATGCCCCGCTTTGACTATCAATGCAACACAAAACTTAAAAAATCATAATGTTGATGGAGATGCTGACAAAGTCAATGGACTATGAAAGGTATGTAGGCCGCATCCAGCATTTGATGCATGGGTTGATATGTACTACCTAATATGTATCTATGGTCCAACTTTGGTTGGTCTAGCACTTATACTTTCAGTGAAACTTACTTAAATAAATAAATATACAGCATTTGATATAGTGCCCTATCTAGCTAACGTAAGCCACTCTAAAGCGCTTTACAGTACATAGGTATACAATTTTCTACAGTCAATACGATTAGCATATATATTAATCAATACAATATTGAGGAATTGCAGGAGCTGCCTTATCAGGCGCTAACTACTAGTCCTATGCCACCTGGCTTATATCTCCCTATGTGTGTATGCCTGCGTGTGTGCTGGAGATGTATTGTGTTCTGTTTGTAGTGGGACCGTGCTTCCAACGGTATCATTTATAGTGCCACCTCACTTGAATGCTACAGCACAGATACCGCAACGCCCAATCCCAGACCATTTTATACTCCACATGGGTTGTTGGAGTTGTGTGGGCAGGAGCTAAAAACACTTTCTCTGAATATTCCATGCGTACAGCGACTTCGGGGATCGAACCTGGGCCGCCTGCTTGGAAGGCCGGAGTGTTAACCACTCGACCAATCTGCCCACTTAAACGCAAAAACTTAATGTTGACGTTGTCGTCGACAAAAAAAGGAACATCTAAGTCTTGCTTCCACTTTGTGTCGGCAAGACAAATAAACACTGTACACATTGATACATTTAGTCACATACTTTTGAAATGAATCTAATGTTAACAGACATGTTTTAACTAAAGATCTGAATAAGAAAGAGATTAAGATACAACAAACATTACCAAATAAAATGAACAAAGGCTTCTCTTTTTCTCTTTACAGTACACATTTTTACAAGTCTGTTGATTCAGACTGTATTCTGTCTTTTCGTATTGCAGAGTTATCTGCTCTCGTGAGCAGGTATTGAATGTTACATCATTTTTTTGTGAGAGTTACGTCATAAATATTTGAGAAAACGACACAAAGTAATGACGTAACAATCAATACCTGCTCACAAGAGCAGATAACTCTGCAATACAGAAAGACGGAATACTTTTAGGTTTAGTTTGTAGAAGCACGGAATTAGATTATCCAAGTCCGTGGTAGAAGTAATAGCCACCAAAATTAAAATGTATTCAGAAATCTGTATTGATTAATTAGTTCATTAGTACAGATGCTCTAATTAAAAAGTTGCATACATTATGACTTCAAAGCAAAAAGGTTCTAATGGGAACATGAATGTCCATAAAAAGTGAAAACAAGCAAGAAATAAGCCACTTCCCATGCCAATTGTACCTCTAAAATAAGTGCCCTGATTTTTTTTTATATTATGCATTATATTGGAAGAGAAAGCAAAAACCAAATTGGCCAAATTTGTATATGAAAAAGATCACTTTTTTGNGTTATCAAGTTTATTCCAGTAATCTACTTTTGTATTAGGAGGTCTAGAAAGACAGCAGAGAAGTATTTTTTGTTAATTCAAGTTACAATATCTCTGTCCAAGTGTAGTTTGTTGTCAGCATTTTCAAAACTTTTATGTTCAAACGATTTTCTTTTACTATCCAAGAAATGCCCGTGTCATTTATTTGTTTATCAATATATAAAGTTACTCTGCAAAACATGTGTTTGTTATCTTTTAACTAAGCTGGATACAATAATTCAAAATTAAATCTATGATATACTGTATATATCTAATTTTTATTAACATTACAATAAGTGTTTTAGAGTCTGAATGCATGTATCAATTTGTTTTGTTACACCTCAAGTGAATTTCTAGCTATTTGATTGGTTGGGAGAAAATTAAACAAAAATCTCTGTCACCCTCCGAAAATACATTGGTTTTAAGGGGCGCAGGTGATATTGCCATGAGACAGAGAAAAATATCACATGCGCGTTCACCGCTTTGTTTCCCCACCGTGATGGTCACAAGAACTTTTGATGGCAACAGCCAATTTTATCAAGCGCCGGTACGATAGCGATTGTAAACAGCAGACTATCAACAAACAAGATGTCATTATCGAGGTTTGCTGCCATTTCTGAGCTACAAAGACTTTTGGTGTAACAAAATAGATATGGCATTCATAAGCAGGTGACAGTGAATATTGTCAACCCTCAAAAACCCATTGTCACCCTCGGCAATATTCACTGTCACCTGGTAATGAAATTCATATTTATATAATGTCACTTAACCTTATTATATTCCGTTACTTTTCACAACTGAAGCTGTGCAGCAGTTCTACTTCTTAGTGTAAGACTAACAAGAAGGATTGTCTGCATGATTATTGTCACGTATACCAGTAACAGTGATAGGCATGATATATATAGTACATGATATCTTACACTCAATACACTTACATGAGCTCTATAGTGTGTATCTTACGCAATAATACTACATGATTGCTACAGTAGACAGTGCAAAATGTTGCATGATCGACGTTACAGAACGTTATTTTATATTCGGTTGTAAAATCTGTTAAAACTAAAAAAAAATCTGGCTCGTAACAATGTACGACGTTTATAAAATTATTTGACTTGGCACAAAGCATGTGATATTGAACTAACTGCACTGCCTGGCTGACTGCACACACGTGAGTCTAGAAACGAGAGTCGTGACCCCACATTTTGAGGGTCATGAATGCAAGTTAGTGTTTTTTTGGCAAAAAACACAATAGCATATACAGTTAGACTATTACACGAGATACATCAAACACACGCAGCAAGACTCTTACTTTACAAGAGAGCAAATAAATGCCCCATCGCCCGATAGAAGATTCAATCTATTCCGTTTGGTTAGCTTGCGTAAGTTTCGTCTGCTCGCACACCGGAAGTTTAAAAAACATACGGAATGAATAAAAACGTAAACTTCCGTTAATTTGCATTTAATAGAAAACATGCATTATCAATCTTAATATTCAATTATATAAAAGCAGAATAAATAGATACAAAAACAACAAAAGCAATGAAATTGTTTGAGCTCGTTTAAAATATAAATAATAAATTTCATCCAATGAAAGCTCGCCAAACCATACAGTGACCCAGTCAAAACAGGTGATTGTGTATTCCCCACACCAATGTATGTAGATTTAGTTCAGCGCGAACACTTAGACTGTCTTACTGATCTCAGCTGTTCAAGCAACATTCTGGAACAGATCGTCGACACTGAAAACATTGGCTTGTCAAGAGAAAGAAGTAGTAGCTATGTGGTAAGTGGAGATTAATTAGAACAGCTAAGTTGTGTATTGCCCAGAATTATTGTCGATGATCTGGTGATGATAAACTAGGCCTAAAGCGCCCAATATGATAATAAGGTGCAGAATTATTCACTTTATGAATGGCGAATACCTCATCGTACCGACTTCGTTTTAAAGCGTTAGTTGTCATCAGCTGTTGTCACAAATAACTGTTAATGAGCAGACAAGTCAAGGAAGGATGCTTAATTTAAAGTGAAAGTTATTTTTTTTATTTATTTCCTATCGTGATGATAAAAGCAATGGTGCAATACTCTATCGATATTACCAATATTATTGTATGTTGATAGCATGAACAATGGTAGGATTGATCTTTTCAACCTAGTTTTCACTTTTGAGGAAAATCAACTATAGAAGAATATAACTATAAAAATAATAATCGATTTATAATGTTCTTTGTTTATAGTTAACAGATTATGATAATCTTTGTTGTAATTTAAAAGACCCCTGCACATGCCTTTTTCAATTTGATTTCATAGTTTTTTCAATCGTTTATTTCAATCCAGCCAATTTGTACATTTGTTCATGATTTTATTGACAACGAGTTATGTCCCAGGAAAACTTGAACAAATCTTATAATTAACCTACCATATTTGTAGCTCTTGGTCTTTCTTAATCAAGATAAAAAAAAAACAGAAAAAAAGAGGCAAGCACTTGTACGTATACATATTTCACTAAAGATAGATCAATCAACATAATTCAGAAATTTGATTTGTTCACAACCAAGTAAAACAAATAGAATCATGAGAACATGTTTAAAAATGGAAAGATAAAAACAAGTTTAATTGTTGGTGAATTCACCAATATACACCTGTTTGTACACTAGCTGTTCTCATTTGACCTAGCTCATTCCAGATGTGTCATTTTTGGTGAATAATGTAATAATTATTTACTACATGTATACCTGATGATGTTGTTGTATTTTTGGGATGAATTAGATTGGGATACATCATCCTTTTTGCCAACTGTAATAATGGAATATCAATGAATAAGTGGTATTGAATTTTTCAGAGGTAAAATTTATTTGATCTTTTCCAAGATTATATGTGACAAAGATTTTCATATAAATCAAGTAAGATGTGCAATAACTAATGTATATTGTAATTGTTTTGGTTTTTTTACTTTCAAATTCCAAATATGATAAACCAACTTAATAAGGTAGGATAGACTATGAAACTATCTAAATATATGTAAATAGAACTAAAATTGCAGTCTGTTTAGACAGAAATTCTTAATTAAGATATAAAAAGATGTCTGCGTACAAATGCAAGAATGGAATGGTGCAAGTTGTACACATAATGCATGCTAAACTGGAGTATTTGTGTGAGTTAACATTTAAATGAAATTTAGAAAAATAGGAGACAACAGGACAACAATACATTATACGCTATCTGACTATTTGTACATAATCTGAATACAGCATTCTGTACAAGTGGGGTTTTCCTACTGAAAAATATCTGCCGTTAATGATTTGATGGAATCTTATAGCTAGTTTGGAATGTCTGTCAATTTTNGATGTGCGAGAGTTAATTCCTTTCATGACACCGGCACTCCTTTCTCGTTCATCTTTTTATTTCAAAAACGTATTCAGATATAACATTATATTTCTAACCAGCTTCTTTATATGATCCATATATCTAGGATAAGTGACATGTTGACACGAACTAACGAATACACGATCGAACTCTCACACAGGTAACTCACTGACCAGACTATCGTCACCAGGTCGATAAGCTGTCAAATAAACACTCATAGATCATGCGTGATTTTGCGAGATCAGCGAGAGTTGCCAATCTCTGTATTTATACGTCTCTGATTTTATTTATCATTTAATTAAATGTATTAAACACATATAGCTAGATTTATTATATTAATAACGGTAATGTAAAATGAAAGTAAATACCACTGGGATTAACATGTACCTCTGTGCAAATAACTTGTTTGCACTTTTTTTTTTATACCTGACCACAATATTGTATGGGCCTGGTTAAGTTTTTTCGGTTAGGTCAGTTATGGGCTTCTCACATGCTTGTGTGTCTTTATGAGTGAAGCATGTTTCAAAATGTTTTTGTGTCCTTGACATTGAGTTGACCTTGACCTCTTTGACTTGGTTAAGTTTTTTGTTTCGGTCAGTTATGGACCATGTACTAACTACAGCATCGGCCATTTCAGTAATTCATATGTTTTGTGCTTTGATGATCAGCACAGCTTTGGTGACAATATGGTGTTAGGGGTAAGGTAGGCAACTATTTATAAATATTCTTCGTAATCTATTTACATAGTTTAATGGAACAGATTTCATTACTTTAAGATTGATTAAAAATGCAAAGCATTTCCCTGGGTAGGTGTGACAAGAACCACAAATATGTTTTCAGGTCTTATTTCAATTATAATACAGATTCCTTGCTTACTGCTAGATGTACAGACACAAGTCTAGCAATCTTTTATTTTCCTTCCAGGTATTTTGTCTGATTCATGTCTCAAAACGAAATGAAATTTTCATGCCTGACTACCTGCATGTATGGCCTTAAGTACATTGTTACTATAGGTACGGTAAATGTTTGTAGATTTTCGAAGGTCAAAATAAGAATTGTTTTTAACATTAGCAAAACCCCCCAAAACCCCTGAAAAGTTGATATATTTTTACAATTTAATTATCTTTGCATTTATATTCACATTTTTGATTAAATGTAAAGATCAGTAGATTGTTCAATTGACAAACGAACAAATTTATGCTAGAACTTTCAATAGCCATTGCTATCAAAATTTCTTAACGGATGTTAGCAATGACCTTGAGATTGAGATATTAGATGCTTAGACACAGTGGCATCTATATTGAAAATATTCAATGGGATAGATTGGCCCATCCTAGTTAATGTGTAAACAAAATTTTAAATGGCCCAGAGGCCAAGCATTCCTATGTCGATCTATTGGTTGATAATGCTGATAAAAGGACATTTTTAATTATTTGAAAAGAAAGTGGTTAAAATTACCATACCAGTTGGCAGTGCATGTACTTGGTTACTTTTTTTTATATAGAAAACTATTGCAATCAGTTACTCTATTAAAACAATGATTTAATAATAAAAATGATATTGTCAAACAAGAAGTTGCCTGTGATTATGAATAATTAAGAAAGAGATTGCATCATTATTATTTGATGTATGCTGCTCAAGGGATTTATATGCTGGTATATTTCTCAGGTCCAATAACTTTTCATGTATCAGTTTCAATATTCATGTATCAGTTTCAATTTCTTATCAAGAATGACCAATAAGATTTTGACCAAACTTTGCACAAACTTTGCCTAACCAATTGCCTAATTGTCTCATTGCCTAACCAATTGAAATGCATGATGACTGATCATGATGTAGCCACTGATTGGCTAAGATAGTTTTCCACTTCTTCAGTTTCATTAATGAAATTTTAACCCCAATTCAGTTGACTTATTTATGACTCAGATCAAATAATGATATTTTTTACTGATTTTAAATTAAAGAAAAATTGCCACTTTTACTTCCTTCTGATTCACCATAAAACACCAGACAATCTTTCTTCCAGATTGACCTTTTAAGTTACCAGATACTGATAAAAACTGCAAGATGGCCACCATGGCTTCTGGCCGGTGGTTGGTTGGGATATTTGATGTCTTCCAAGTTTGACTAAACATATTTAAACCGGGTTTGTAGTGGATAGTTTTTTAATCCATTTAACATTTCCTTAACTTCTAGATCTGACAGTCTGATTTTAATCAAACTTGGTCAAATGGCTTAATGCTCCATTTGCAGCTCTGACTAATTACAATTTTATAAATGGTCATAACTTTTGGAACATTTAAATACAAGATGGCTTTCCTTGCCTCTGCTCCCCTGCAGGTCAGGGATTGAAAAAAGAATATACCTGCTGTTACCCACTGCATGTTGTCAGAGGTAACTAATGTGGGAACCCCCTGGAGAATTGGGGATCTTCTTTTGTGGTCTCTACTAAAGAGACACAAAATTTACCAAAACAAATCTGCTGCACCCATTGCAACATTTGGTCTATTTATTTTTGTTCTCTCTTTTTATGACTACGGTATTTTCTTTTATGTCTTACCTGGTAATATCTCCCTTTAACAGTCTCAGTTGTAAGCGTTCATTCAAGGGTGGAAGGTTATGGGTTTTGTACCCATGCCAAGACAAATCAAAGTCGTTGAAATTGTTACTTACTACCTTTTGCTTAATTTTCGATTTTAAATGGGTGTCAGTAACGACTGGTTAACCCATTGTCTGTAAATTATGACTAGATGGAGTGTCATGCTACTCTGCCCAGATTATGACATATCAGTGATGTCAAGCTATAAAGATGCACTTAAGTGGGCCCGTTGTCCGTATGGGCCCTGTGTCCGTAGACACCGGCTTCATTTGACCTTAGCTGGTGTGAGGACGTAACACCCGAACAAGCAAACAAACAAACTTTAGCCTCTGATTGGCTTTTCATGCATATTTTGACAGATTTTGGTACAAGTCATTTCTTTCTTGGTCTTGAACAAAAAAAGTTCATGCTTTTTATCAATTTAAATACGAGATGACTCACTCCTTTGGTGAAATAAGACATTGTCAACTAGATTTTCATTTACCTGGTGTTAGCCAAATTTGGTGAAAATAATCTGCTCACAACCTTGGCCGAATGGGTTATTTTTTGCATTGGATTCAAATCTGAGATGGGTGCCCTCATGCCCTGCAAGTGTGCATGAGCCTTCTGATTAGTTTATAGCCTTAAGTCTTCAATCCTCTTATAATGTTAGTATCCTTCCTAATTGTTGCCATGGGTGATTATAACATTTGATTGGTTTGTAGAATAGTCTGAGAATATTGCTGTTTTCTTTTTGAAGTTTTTGTTCGGAAAAATTGAATTAGGTGTATGCATGCAAATCTTAAAACAGTTCATAAAAAACTCTAAAAGTATGTTAATAC